ATCTGAGGTAGGGCTTCTATGAGCCTGCTTGGCATCATCTGTTATTCTTGAGATGGAGCACTGGAGCCTTTGGGTGCCCTTGAAGTGCCTGTGTGTTGCCCATCTGAGATGAAGACTACAGTTATTCTCCCTAACAAAGCCCCTGAATGTATCGATGGCAGCTATGGGGGCTGCTCAGCGGCAAAATGCACACAAGGTACTGAAAGCGAGTTTGTTTGATAGTGTAAATTGTATTTCTTCCAAGAAAAGCCCACACCCATGGGCAGCGGCTCTGGGATCCCGGAGCTGTGAAACTTTCTAACATCCTTCATGTATTTTTCTGCTCCTCTCGTTTGTTTGCTCCAGGCCAAGACTAAACATTACAAATTTCTTTTTTTGTTTTTTTTTTTCCTACTACTCTTCGCGGATCTACGGTGGACGGTGGGAGGTTGTGTGTGTGGGTTGTTCTGCAGGCCGCCGGGCGGCGCTGACTGAAGGTCACGGAACTACATGCGGTGCTGGGCCGGAACCGAACTCAGGTCCTTGGGCGCAGCGGTCGGGCGCTCTGCCCCCTGAGCCATCTCTCCGGCTAACATTACATATTCCTAATGGGGGTAAGGAGACATGCAGCATGCTGAATCTCACCAACATCAACTCTGACAAGGAGACATGCAGCATGCTGAATCTCACCAGCTTCTCTTGAGTTTGAAGCTTGACTAAAGTCAGGTCTACGATGCAGCATTTGAGGGCACGGTTACACAGACACTTCTCAAGAATGGGGTACCAGAAAGCCAGTGATCATTGACCAGGCCTCCTGAACCTTGATACTTTCAGTTTCCTAGACCAAAAGTACTCTTCACAGATTATGCTAAGTTGAGTCCTTGTCTCCAGTTGGTTTCAGTTGAAATGCTACCCGTGATGATAGCCCCATGCTGGCCAAAGAACCGACCCCACCTATAATGTCTCACTCTAGTACTGAGTTCAAGGCCTTCCAAGCATTTGCTACCACCTGGTTTTCTTTTTCTTTCTGTAATTGTCTTTTTCTTGTTGTTGCTACATGTCTATATTGCTACCCTTTTAAGCTATCAGAGAGAATTTTGTTCACAACATTCTACACCGCATGAGGAACTCAAGACAATCACAAAATATTTCAGATACACAGATACTCAAAATCAAAGTAAGAGTCGAGGATAGACGCACGTTTAATTACTAAGCCTGTATCTTCCTCAAGCATATACTCTCTAATCATTGGACATTCACGGGTTTGTGTGCCAGACCTAACTGTAGCTCTGGTAAGGATATTTCAAAAAATGTGCAGTTGTTGCTATATTTCTGCCCTATCATTTTTCACAGGTTTCGAAATGTGTCATAAAATATTATTGGGTCAGGGAACCAGGCAGGCCACCAGATGGTTGAGAATGATTTATTTCCCTGGTTTCAGACTTGGGAAGAAGGAGCACAGGAAAAAGTCAGTACTTATCTCTGAACCTGCAGAATATGGGAGATAAAGGAACCTTGAAGTCCAGCTAGTACAGACTCACTTGTAATTTCAAAACCCCTGCTGCAGTACCCCGTGACGTGGCCATCCGACCTTGACTGTAATATTTTCAGTAATGAGACACGATCTTACAAGATATCTCTTTCATGATTGGACAGATGCTGATGAGCAAGGTCTTCCTCCCATTGGTGCACAATGTCCTTCCTGTAACATCTGGCCCTTGGATCAACACTGTGCATTCCTCGTTCCTGCTCTAAATTAAGAACTTTGAGATATCTGAAAACCTTTAAGATATTTTCCCTTGGTGTTCTCAACTTCAAAAGAATCCTCTCAAACCCCCCAGCTCTCGGTCACCCATTTCTCCTTTTCAACACGCATTTTGCTTCTGGATGATCTCAGGATGCTTGTTTCTTAATTACGGACCTAATTGTACTTGAGCCATAAAGCTACTAAACGATCCACTTTTGAAAGTCAATTACGCATCTAACTGCGTCCTGTTATTATTACTAATATCAGCATTGGTTATTAATTGTCAAATGCAAAAGCAGATTGCTCTGATACGACCTATCTACCCAGAGGTCTTTGTCAGAAATCAATCGATGACTGCCCGAACTAGCTGACTATTGAAAGCCTTCTGATCAAAATCGGAAAACACTTAAATTAATCTGGGTCACCAGTTTGCACAAGGACAGCAATAAGCCTTCCTCTGACCTCTCCACTAGGCATCCTGAAAACACACCACCAAAGGAGAGCATCCCATTAGGAAGCAGTAGCCGAAATGATCTGAGCCACTCTCAGGCTTTGAAGAGCTGCACAGTGGGGCTGCAGGCTTATGGTCTCCACCACGGTTCTAACCATCAGCACCAAGGCAGATGCCACATCACTGTGCCGGAGCCTGGTCATTTTCGGTGCTGATTGGCTGATTTACCAATCAGCAAAATTTACACTAGGAACACTGATAGGGTTCAATTCACATGTCTATACATACATACATACATACATATATATATATATGTATATGTATACTGTAATCACCTGTTCTTGTAATGGACAGCAGTAAATTATAGCGTATTTTAAACTCTGCAGTAGCTTCTATTTAACACTCTCAGAAATATTGAGTCCTCTGTTCTGTAGCATAGAAAAAGGATGGCTTGGTCGCATTTCATCACGTTCTACAGTACACACTGGGTAACATAGCACTCGACTTTCACCTGAGCACAATCACTGAGGGACCTAGAAACAGTGACTCAGAGATGTCTTGTTCAGTTAACTGTATCTGATGTGTCCTTTGTGTCAGTGAAGCCAAATACATCTAATCATAACATGTTCAAAATAGTAAAAGCCAAACACCGTATTTTCAGTAATGTGAGGAAACCACGATACATGTTTTTATTTTCTCTTAAAATAAACAAGTTGAGTTACTCAGCTGTTACAACAATTCTGGTTATAGGTTAGACTATGTCCTCGAAAAATGTATGCTGAGTCTGTTCTCTTCACAGTTGAGGATGCGATTTTATGACAGTTGGGTTGTTGAAGGTGTAATGAAGTGATGATGAACCCAGATTGCAGAATGCTGGGCTCCAAGGTGACCTTTCAGGGGGAATGTGGAAACACACCCGGACTATACCATACGAAGAGAAAAACACGGACCGGGAAATTTTTCCACAGGACAAGAAGCTGGGGGAGAGGCATACAATGCCCTTCCTCCTAGGCCTTGGAAGAGCTGACCTGACCCTGCAAGCATAGTGACCTTGAATTTCTACTCTGTAGAACTGCAAACTGGTTTCTGCTGTCTAAATCACTTAGCTTGCAATCCTATGTTGAAATAATTCAAATCAATTAGTACGTAGTATAAACAACGTATCTCCACAACTGATTTTGTAGGTAGCCTAAAAAAATGAGTGTTCAATATTATGTGGTGTAAAAAAAAAAAAAAATGTATTCTCCGAAAGGCGTGTATCATAAAAGTCCTGATGCTGAGGATAGGGTGGGCGTGGCTCAGTGAGTAAGGATTTATTTGTTATACATGCATTAGAACCTGTTTTCCAATCCCCAGCACCTACATACATGCTGGGTATGGCAGCACATATCTGTAGCCCCAGAACTGGGGTAGGGGAGAGAGGGAGATGCCAGGGATTTGCTTTCTAATCAGCCTAGCCAAGTCAGTAAGCTCCGGGGTCAGTGAGAGACCCTGTCTTACCAACCAGGTAGAGCAAAGGAGAGTGACAACTGAAATCAACTTCTGGCCTCCGTGTACACACATGTGAGGGAGTGCAGCTGTGCAGATACGTACAGCACACACACACACGCATGCATCCTTAGATGTTTTATTATTACAACCGTATCATAGATACACATAATATATAAGGACATAGTTTTGTTGTAGTATAGACAGTCTAGTTACGTGAAGCCCTAAGTGGCCAGCAGTGTCCCATGACTGCATGACCGCTGTATCCACAAGTAGAATGTACTTACTGCAGCTGAGTAATGAAATTTTAATTCCATTACTTGTCTAATTTAATAAAAAATAATCACACAGAGCCAGTGACTACTGTACAACTTTAAATGTTTTCATTTATTTAATCTCGTGTGTGTGTATGTGTGTGTGTGTATGTGTGTGAGTGTGTGTGTGTGTGTGTGTGTGTGTGTGTGTATGCCTAGATTTAAATACACGCAAGCGTGTGCGGGAGCCTGAGGGGCTCAGAAGGGGTGTCAGACTCCCTGGAAATGGAGTTACAGACGGTTGTGAGCCACCAAGTGGGTGCTGGGAACTGAACCCAGGTTCTCTGAAAGAGCAGTAAGTTTTCTTAACCACTGAGCTGTCTCTCCAGCCCAGTTTACAGAAAAATGTTACGTTTTTAATTTGAGAATGACATTCCATTGCTGACTGTGAAGCCATTAAATATGAAGGGACACAAAACTTCTAAGAAAGGGCGATTTATAATTGGGATAAATCCCAGAAGAACATACAATATATAAATTTTTGGCACCAAACCATTCATTTAAACCCAGTAAGTAAAACGGATTCAGCAAACCAAGACTTAGGTTAGTTATGACCAGCAGGGGGAACCAAAGAGCAGCACACGAGCTTTTCCCGAGAGAGTTTCCTTTCCCCTACACCAGGGCCCTAAAATAGTCTGCCCGGGAACTGCACAGCCCAGACTTCCCACAGATCCAGTCAGCCACATAATCCGCACATGTTTACTTTCAACAGAGCCCTAAAACACGATAGAAATTGGCTCTAGGCATCAGAGTGTAAAATCTAATCAACGGGAAGGGTTATTTTTTTAAAGAATAAAATTAAATTAAATTAAATTAATGATAGACGTAGGTCTTTCCCACTCGCCTCTGTTAACATGTGGTTAGTGATATTTTCTTTTTACTTTGTTTTCTTGCTGCTGCATAAATCAGAGACGAACTTCAGATCTAAAAGTTACACAGCAAGTGAAATTTCAATCAGAAGAGTGTTGAAGGTTCTTTTGGGAAGTTTTGCCCATGGTATGATGACCATACATGGTCTTACCTCTTGGTAAAGGTCACTGAGATCTTCCTGGTGGGCCTGCTTGGAGCATCCTGGGAATTCCCTAACACAGCAGGAATCTGGAGGCCAGTCCATCTCTGTCATTTCCAGCCAGTCGGTGAAGTACACCACTCCACAGCACTTAAACTGAAAAAGAGGTAGCAGCCACACTTAGGAACCACGCAAAAGGGTTTTTGTTTAACTTAACGAGAGATGAGACAGTAGATTTCTTAAACGCTGGTAGTCATCGGGGTCAAACTTGCGCGTTAGCTAAAGCTCCGTGACAGTCTTGACGACAGACACATCATAAAGGAATATCAAAGTCAGCATCGCATAATGGGACGGTTCTGAACAACTCCCACCCCTCCTAAAAGCAAACGGTGTCTCACTCTCTGACTCGATGCGAATGGTTATGACGATGACAGATTCCACACACATACATACAAATTCAGTAACTGAATGTCGGTTATCAGTACCTTCTGGTCAGGAGAAAGTAGAGAATCATTTTATTTATTATCCCCTCACTAGTGTAAATACTCCGCAAACTGAATCATTGTGATAAAAATTTCCACAAATTCTATGGAATGACTTGATGATCAAACCTCACATCACGACGGTCACCAGGCAGTCTTTGGTTCCTTAACCAAGGCAAAAATTTTGAAAGTAATTTGACCAACTTATTATCACCCAGTAGGGTGGATTTCTTGATAAACTATCGTATCATATCTATATAAATGCAGAAAAATTATGGTATGCTTAGCTTGAATGTAGTTGGACTTAAGAGAAGTGAACTTGCCTTTCTCCAAACTGTGCTGAAGAAGACTGTTTTTGTTGTACTTAACTGTAGATTATTACTTTGAGGAGGGCTCAGAAACACTGCTTGGAGGCAGGTGCAGGCCCATTCAGAAGAGCTAACTCTCCTGAGGCGAGCTTTGCCCTTGGATAAGAGAGAAGTCCTCTTCTCTAAGTCAGAAGGAAGGAATATGGGCAGTCACGGGGGAAGAGCCCTGCCAAGAGTGATGGTTATGCAAATTACATAGCCCAGGAGACCAATCTCCGCTCAAGATTAACCCTGAATCATGAAATGTCACAATCCAGAGCCATTTCAAAGCTTAACCAAAACTTGGAAGAATTCTGAATTCCTCACGCGACAGCAAGCGAGGAAAATATTCAATGCATTTGGTACATTTTCACTCTCTCTGCCTAAACAGCTTATGATTCAAGAGCTTATGACTTAAAAAGGGAAAGGACGTCGGAAAAGCACTTTGAATGATAATCACTGGGAGCCATTAACGCTAAGAGCTTCGAGAAACTTTACAAATAATTTCTGTATTGTTTTAAAGCCGTGGGCGTCCCACAAACGGCACAACTAAGGCACATCCTGAGCGCGGCAAGTGTCACAGAAATGTCACCGAGTGACTGATTCTGGTGTCGTCACACACCGACCCAACCAACCATCGGGAATCCTGAAAATAAAGCACACAATTAAAAGACTTCCCTTTCTGGATGCTGTAAACTATCACATTGTTAGGTCGGTGTTTTGAAAGCCTTTTACCCAGAGAAGGCCTTTTCCTGCCTTTCCTTGCCACACGAGGTCTTTCTGAGCTGACTTGACAGGCTCAGTGGAGTGGTCCATTTATCTGACTTTGCCAGGAAATGAAGACTTCCACAGCAATTGGCTTTCCTAGATAACTTAAACAATCCGTGTCCAGTGCCAACACTGTTAAGGAACCACCGACATCCGTCTTCTATGCAGTTGTCTCGCCCACCCAACAGAGGAGAGAGGATCTGTATGGGGGCTTCCTGAACCTTCTCAAGGTAAACTCGGTATTACCCCAGTAAAAATCTGTGTTCGGCCACTACCTGCCAAGACCGCTCCACTCCAAGCCGATACTATGCCATGCCGTAGAAAATACCATGGAATCACTATTTTACATGTAAATTAACCGAGACCCTTGATGGACGAAGTTATTTTCCAAAATCCTTTGGCAGCAACTGGGATTCCAAATGTTATACAGCCACTAACCATGTTAAAATAAATACATTTTTTAAAATGGGTTTTTAAAAAAGATATTAGTAAGTGTCACTAAGAATTATGTGAGATCCATTCGCTTATGGCACATGCACAAGGAATGAGCGACTTCGAGGGCTAAAACCTGACCAGGTAATTTCCTGGTCCGTGATTTATTGTGGAAGAGAAGCATCCCAGGCTGGGCCGTTGCTCTCCATCTAAATTTACAGGTTAAAATTCTAGCCCTCGCGCCTCAGAATGTGACTGTTTATGGGGAAAGAGCCTTTAGAGGAAGTAGTGTCAAAGAAGACCATCATCAGGGGCATAATTAAGCATGAATATCATCCTTATAGGAAGAGGAAAAATTAAACACGGACACTATAAAGTCAAGACAATGAGAACAAGAACGGGGAGAAGGCCAGGTACAAGGCAAAGAAAGAGGCTTCAAAAGAATCAGTGTTGCTAATCTTGAACTTTTAGCCTCTAGACTAATGAACAAACACTTGCCCTAAGTGACCCTGTCTGTGACACTCAGTCACGGCAGTCCTATCAGACTAGTAGCAAGAGCTTTGAAAGTGTTCCACGTATTTGGAAGTATTCACCACTCTTTTTAGGCAAATGAGCACTGTGAAGTAAGAGGAACCAGGCCAAGGGAACGAGCGTGGAATGTTTGCAGGGCATGTACACTGCTCACGGAGGCAGAGTCCCGCAGGAGGAAAATGAGGTCGCTGTTTCTCAACCTGGTTTATCACACTTTGTATCATCCATTCCAGAAAGTGGACTCTGGAGCTCCACCCAGCTCCACCCTGAAGACGGCTTCCTATAAACGGCCCGGTACTCCACAGATCTTCCCATTGTGTTGTTTCTACTATAATTATGCAACAAACAAACAAAGTCAGGAAACAATGCAATAACAGGAAATCTGTGGGGCACTGATAATTTTACCATCTCAACAACTGGGACCCAAAGCCAGGTTCGGAGATTGTCCTAGATCTGAACCTCTGCCACAGGCATATACACAGTTGGCTGTCCACTAAGATGCTCATTCTCAAATGCTTCATGGGACAAAGCAAGAAAAAGAAAGTAAACTAAGACACAGGGTCTTCTAGAAATGTCACTCCAACACAAGGAAAACGCTTAGGAGAGCTGGTTTGAAGGAAGATCCAAGATTAATCTCAAGCCATTCGATTTTGAAACATCCAGAAACCAGTTCCCATCTAAAATACTTGGATGAAATATAAGATTATTTTGAAGCAGAAGTCTATTTTGTAATGTCACTGGTACCAAGCTGAAGCTAACTAAGATCAAGTCAATGACGTCATTCCCTCTTCTTCCTCCTCAACACTTCAAGAGGCTGAGTACCTGTACTGTTCCTATGCCGAAGGTGTGGAAATAGAGGCTTAAGGAATTAAGTGAAGTGATAGTAAGTAACAGAGATGGGATTTGAATCAAAGACCTCCTGACTAGGAAAAAAAAAAAAGACAGGCTGGTTGATAATGATGTTCATCCAAACAAAATGTGCAAATGGAAGCAACCTTTTTAAAATGTTGAAACAAAGTTTAAAGTCCTGGTAACTCCGAAAGCAGAAAAAAAAATCCCTAAAAGAGAAATTTCTAAGTAAAACTTTAACTGTTTATTAAATAACTCATGAAAAGGAAACGTCACAGTAGGTGAGCAAAACAGCTTCTGAAGAAGCGCGTGTGGACCAGAGGAGTGAAGGAGAACGCCCATGACTGAGATGAAAAGACAACAGGAAGTGAAGTTGCAGCCTGCAGGGAAAAACTGCACCAGTGACGGCGGATGCCCAGGCTTCCGTTTTCACTGCAGAAATGATCAAAATGAACGTTCTGCATACCTGCTTTGACAACTTGCTTCCAGCCCCAGGAACGGCAGCACTTACCTCTCGCTGAAAAAAATTCCAAGCGTGAGTAAGCCATCTATACCTGGGTAAGCCGTAATTTGTCATTCTGGCTTTCAAAGTCACCATATCTGACCACTGTACCGGCACCTAGAGAGACAAAACCAAGCAAAACAAAACATCAGGATCCAAGTCCCACCAGCCAGGTAAAGGCTCACTCACATATATAGATCTACAACCTTCAGCACACTGACGACACAACGCCACATGTGCACAGTGTGTGCTAAGACTGACACATACCGTTTTAATTTATACTTGTTTAGAGACTAAATTAAGCTCACACCAACAAGCCTGGTGTTCACAAAACTGACGTGGGGATCGAGAGCTAGGATATAGAAAGAAGACGTGCATATGAGCTTCTAAAACAGAGGTTCTCATCATCTCTAATGCCATAACGCTTTAATATAATTCCTCATATTGTGGTGACCCCCCCCACCATAATTCTTTTCATTGCTGCTACATAACTGTAATATTGCTACTGTTATGAATGATAATGTAAATATATGTGGTTTCCAACAGTCTTAGTCAACCTCTGTGAACAAGTCATTTGACCCACCCCTCCCGCAAAGTCATGACCTAAGACCAGGGCAATTTTGAGATCTTATTAAAAATCGTACTATCAGGCTGGAGAGATGGCTCTGTGTATAAGAGGGCATGAAGCATGGTCTTAGGACCTGAGCTCAGATCTCCATCATACAGGAAAGGCTGGATCTGGGCACGTGTGCCTGTAACCCCCGCGCTCAGGAGGTGGGAGGAAGGACAGCGAGCAGAGGACCACTGGAGCTTAGGGGCACCAAACTAGCAGAAAACACCTGTCTCCAGTTCTCAATGTCGAGAACTGCCCGACATGACCAAGGAAGGGGTCAGTGGAGGAGGGAGGACATCAGCTCTCCTCTCGCCTCAACACCGGAGCGTGTGTATGTGCACCTGCGAGCACCTAACACACATGCACACGACGTCCATAATGCACATACACTTTTTTTAAAAAAATTAAATTTAAAAATAATGTCAACAATTGAGAGGCAGAGACAGTTGGGTCTCTATAAGCTCAAGGCCAACCTGGTCTCCAAAGCAAGTTGAAGGAAAGCCAGAGCTACCTCAAGAAAAATAAAAAAGTAGCGTCCATAGAAGTAATTTCCAAAGCAAGTTGAAGGAAAGCCAGAGCTACCTCAAGAAAAATAAAAAAGTAGCGTCCATAGAAGTAAGTTTAGAAAATTCCTTAGCCACAGAAATTCTTCAATTTTATTTCTTTTCTAGCTATTTTTAATAATCACTTGGAAACACATAATACAGAAAATAGCAAGTAGGTTGGGTATGCATTCTATTCTTATGATTTCATAAAGTTCAGAAAACTAGACAAAGTTCAAGTCACCCACTATAAATTAGCATTATCTCATATCCTTTGTGGTGTAAAATAAATGGAAGTAAAGTAAGTTTTCCAGAAATATGACATCTGAAACAGTTAATATTATTGACAGGTTTTAGCTGGAGTATTGATAGGAGCTGAGGACGTAGAAACAACAAAACGAATGGGGAAGCAGACAGATGTCAAGTCTCCTGACGGAGTTAATGGAATAACTCTTTCTAAATTTTTGCTTTCCAAAATAAACACTGGTTGTTTCTGCACTGTGGCCACCATCAATCTCAAACCAAACGTGGCAAGAGAACAGAGAACCATTGAGGTTCTGGCACCAAATTCGGGGGCACTGGCCATAAAACCCAACACACAGTGAACAGCTTGCCTGCAAGAAACAGCTCCGAGCACAAAGCCCATTCTATGTAAAGGTCGGATCCTGCAAAATTTGGCAGATAATAAACTTTAATGAGACTTCTCTTTTATGTTGTTATTAGGACAGAAGCAATAAAAATGGCAACGCTGGTTTCCTCTTCTGCAAGCCTGCTCTCCATCTTTCACTTGGACATGGCCCTTCCTTCCTCTCTCCTGGTAATGGAATAGGGAAGGTTTACACAAGCAAAGCAATGACGTGTGCCCGTGGCTGAAATGACGAGCAGTGTGCATTCATTTAGTGCCCCAGGAACTGAAACCACTGAGGACCATCCCTGAATAGACAGCAAATGGAAGTCCATTTGTTTTCTATGCTTTTTAACATGTAAGCGCCCCTCTCAAACAGGCAGAATGAACTCATTCTAAGCTTCCGGCTGCTTTAGAGACTCATCATATATCAGTTGGACATATACGTCACAACCCATCATAGAAAGAATAGGGTGTGCCGCCTCGTGAAAATAACCATAGCCCTTGGAGGGTGGAGGCAGGAGGGTTGCCATGAATATGAGGACAGCCTGTATTACATAGTGAGTTCTAGGCTAGCTTGGGCTATTAAGATCCTGCCTTTAAACTAACTAAATAAATGAATCCATACGAAGATAGTCATTTTAATTACCACATAGAATATAACCAAAAGCTGGGGTTAAAAGAGTTAATAATTATTTATAAAATTTAGTCTTCTGTTTGCATGTTAGGGATGTAGGCTATTCTTGGAAACTGAAAAAAAAGAGTAAACTTCATAAAAGGAAGTTTAAAACAAAAATCCGGGGCCCTACAATTTTTCATTTTCCTAATGTACAAAGTTTCTAGGTATAACGTGAAAATCTAACTAAGAGAGAGCAAGTGGACCCTTTTTTAGGTGGATTTTTCCCATATATTCTCAATTTTATATGGAGTAAGTTAGAATCAACCCTGACTCTTCAACTTTCCATAGGTTGTATCTTCTTCCTGTGAGTCCTCATACGTGGAGGTATGAGCGTCTTCACAAAGCTGTGACCCCAGGCACAGTGGCCTGCACAGGTCACCTTTAACCATTAATCTGTGGTAGCCAGGGGATATCCGTTCAGTAACTAGCCTCAGAACACTATAGATTCATCACAGAATCTTTTTTTATAATAATTCTTATAACTACTATATTTGCAGAACAAATTCTTTTGTTTTTTTTATTTTTTTAATTGATTTTATTGAGCTATACATTTTTCTCTGTTCCCTTCCCTTCTTTTCCCCTCCCCTTCTACCCTTTTCCATGGTCCCCATGCTCCCAATTTACTCAGGAAGTCTAGTCTTTTTTACTTCCCGTGTAGATTAAATTCATGTATGTCTCTCTTAGGGTCCTCATTGTTGTCTATGGTCTCTGGGATTGTGCATTGTAGGCTGGTTTTCTTTGTTTTATGTCTAAAAGCCACTTATGAGTGAGTACATATATTTGTCTTTCTTTGTCTATATTACTTCATTCAATAGATGTTTTCTAGATCCATCCATTTGCCTGCAAATTTCAAGTTGTCATTATTTTTTTTTCTGCTCTGTAGTACTCCATTGTATAAATGTACCACATTTTCCTTATCCATTCTTCAGTCGAGGGGTATTTAGGCTGTTTCTAGGTTCTGGCTATGACAAACAATGCTGCTATGAACATAGTTGAGTACATTTCCTTTTGGTATGATTGAGCATCCTTTGGGTATATACCCAAAAGTGATATTGCTGGGTCTTGAGGAAGGTTGTTTCTTAATTTTCTGAGAAATCTCAATACTGATATTCAAAGGGGCTCTCTAATAACAGAATATTATATTCTTATTAATAATTACTAACATTATTAATAATATTAATATTATTAATAATCAAATACCAATAATAGAAATGACATCAATTGTATTACACAAATGCCTAATGCCCTGCTTATCTCTGAAACAAATAAACTATCACCTTCTCATTACTATTGCCCTCTCTTAAGAGGACTTGAATGTTTAAATGCTTACGATACACCAGAAGCTTGTCAGGGGCCTAGGCCCCACCTTTTTCCTGTGTTCTAACTGAGCACATCTGGACTGGTAGGGAGGAATGCACATGATTCAGAACCACCTTTTGAGCCTCCCCAGAAGGCCCAAGGGCAACCCATTGAAAAGCACCATTTTGCATAAACCGAATTGCTCTATGAAGCATGATACCAGCCAGCATGCACAGACATGCAAAGCAACTCCATTCCTCACTGGGAACAATCGTACTAATTTCGCCACTGAAGTGAACAACCTGAGCAATAGCCAGGGTTGGAGGGGGAGGCTGTGGGGGAGTAGGGGTCAAGTGAGAAAGCAACTGGCGGAAAAGGTTGAAAAAACTCTCTTATTCTAAGAAAGCTATAAAGGTTTTTTTTTCTAGTGGTTTCGATGGCTGAAATAAGACAGGAAACGCTGAACTCTTGTTTTCAAGAAGCCAAATCTCAAGCTGTGAGAGCTTTCACACCATGGTAAGCACGCAGCAATTCTCCAAATGCACTTCTTAAAGGGCAATATAGTGCAGCTTGTTTGCAATCAGGAGACACTGGCTTCCTCCCTGTTTTCTGCTTGGGTCAGCAAGGATGGGCTTAAAGGAGGAGGGCTAACACTCCCCAACAAGCACATGCTTCCCCACTATAAATTCAGAAGCTGGTATAGTTGTTTTAGACTAGTTCCAATCCATGATGTCTAAGAAATCTATGGAATTAACGATGTCCCGGGACCTCAAGATAAAAATTTTAAATTACCTCTTGGATATGCGCTTGAGCCACAGGGGGGAAAAACATACGATTTTTCAGAAGTGTCAGGAATGTTCACCCTTACCATGTAATGTGATCGTGCAAAGTAACAACCATGTAGCCCAGTCACTCTCCGGTGTCCCACACTGTGATTCTGCCCCACCGGGAACTCACCATGACCTCCTGCTCGTACGTCCACACACCACAAGCCAGTTCTACACAGAAGATGACCAGTAAGGTTCCAAAGTACTGCAGAAAGACAGAGGGAGCGTTAGCATGAAACCGTCCGAGGCAAATGTTACTCAGGGGCGTGCTGATCTATGACAAGAATGCACAGGCCCTTCTTCAGGTAGCACAGAGAACAGGCTTCCCCAAGCCCGGGCCCAGCTACAGGAAGCCATCAGGAGTCACCTAAATGGCCTTTGTTCTGTCATTAGTCAGTTATTAGAGTAAACCTTTTAAAAATGCCAATAGTGTCATCGAGCTAAATAAGAACTTATAGGATGTACTTTAATAAAGCTGAATCAAGTTCTCTGAGAAATGACACCTAGTTCTTCTCAGAAAGAATGAGGTGAGGTTTGCAAGTCCAACACTTTCCCCGGTGCGTATTTCCCCTTTCTTTTACATAAAGTGGAGGAGGGCTCCTCTGCTGTAAAAAGGACAATATAGAACAAAATCTCTACTAGTCCTATTAATTTAGAATAAATTGTAGATTTCTCCTGTGGAAAGTGGTTTTGGGAGACATACATAGGCAAATTGATAACAAAGCTGAATACAGGATTGAAAAGAGAAATGAAATAAAGAGTTGGTATTTCTGTGAAGTAGGGAATGTACAGCATCCTGAACAGGGAGCAGATTTGCAAGGAAGAAAATAGAAAAGTGTTTACATAAAAATGATGTAAATGAATACACAGAGGCACGTGGGTGGTACAACGGAGTGTCAGGGAGTACAGACATAGGTATACAGAAGAAAGAAAAATGAGAGACCAGCATTGAAAGGTAATTGAAATCAGATCACGGGGGACACCAGATGACCCGCTAATGGATTTTAAATAGACCATGTAGGCAGTGAGGTGGCATCCCTCAGTGTTTCTGAATAAGAGGAAGACACAAATGGGTTAAATAATGCCGGGATACTAATCGGCTTGAAAGGGAAGGACTGAGGAATGAGTTAAAAAGCTTAGAAGGCAGTCAACAGGAGTCCGAGGGGAAGACCTGAATTTAGATAGTGGCCTTGCAGACAAGCAGGAAACAATACCTTCTAATAATAGAGGGAAAGACATTGCACCACCTGGATGCACAGACAGAGGGAGGAAGATTTATGTCCCCAGTTGTAGCTTGTCTGTGGGAGGACCGACAGAAGCATGCACCTTTTAAGCAAAAGAGAAACATGTTCCATTCCAGGTGTCACTTCGGAGCTCAGGTGCCTGACAGGGGACTGGAAACTATTCTCTTATTAGAAACTTCTGGATAGCATTCTATTCTCCGAGTTCATAATTTAGTCAAGAGCTCCGAAACAGGATGGTCCCCATTTCACACCCAAGGAACTAAGTACAAAAGGTAAGTCACGTGACTTAGGCATGTGCCTGATAGATTTCCTGGACTAGATCTTTGCAGCATTGTTTTGTGTTCTTCCTTACCACGCCCCATTGGTGGAGGTGACCTTACTATGGAAGCCAGTAGTGAGAATCAAAGGAAGACTGGACTTCCCAGAGTTCTCGCCTCTGATTCCGGCAGAAGCAGAATACTGCTGAGTACACAAGTCTTCTGCGTCGATCACAGCACGGAATTAGGTGGTAGCACAGGATGCTGGCGGTACCTTTGATTACCTCCTTCCTTGCAGTCAGTGCTCAAGGAAAAACAGACACCTAAATGTGTTCTTTATCACATATGGCTTGGTAAATCCCTGCTACACACAACACCAAGTAGAAACAAAGCAGAATGGGTTGATAGTGCCTGCAGTTCCCATGGACTGGAAAGAACTTCAATAAAGGTGATCTTTAAGAGGAATAGAAGGAGAGGGTTAGAGAGAAAGGAGTAGGGGAGGAATGGGGAAAGCTCGGGGGATTGGGATGGGGGAGAGGGAGGAAGGATGGATATGGGATCAGGGAAGTATATATCTCAACTAAGGGAGTCATTTTAGGGTTTACAAGAGACTTGAGTATAAAGGGGATCCCAGGTCCAAGGAGAGATCCCCAGATTGTTCTCTGGACAGAGGAGAGGGTGCCTGAACCGGCCTTGACCCATAACCATACTGATGAATATTTTGTATATCACCATAGAACCTTCATCTGGCAATGGATGGCGATACAGACGGAGACCAACATTGGAGCACCGGACTGAGCCCCCCAAGGTCCAAATGAGGAGCAGAAGGACCTTGAAATGAAATAGGAAATAAGGACTGCGAGGGATGCGATCACCCACTGATACAAGGGGACTGATCTAATGAGAGTTTACCAAGGCCAGTTGGACTGGGACTGAACGAGGACGCAATCCAACCAGATTCTCTGAATGTGGCTGGATTCTCTGAATGTGGCTGGCCCGGAGTCTTTCTGAAAAGCCATTGACAATGACACTGGGACTTGTTTCCTCTGCATATACTGGATTTTTTGGGATCCAGTCTGTTTGGAGGCTCACCTTCCTGGACCTGGAGGGAGGGGGGAGGAACTTCCCACAGGGCAGGAAACCCTGACTGCTCTTAGGGATGGAGAGGGAGGAGAGAGGAAGTGGAGGGAGTGGGAGGGTGTTGGGAGGAGGGGCGAAAATGGAAACTTTTATAAATTAATAAACTTTAAAAAAAAAAAGAGGAATAGAAGGAAGCAAAACTGTTAGGATTCCAGAAAAAAAAATAAAGGACATCTCAGAAGAGGAAGCAGCAAATGAAAAGCCACTTTGTGGATTAGTGAGTTAAGCAAACTCAAGGGAACCAGAGTGAGGTTGAGACTGAGACAAACGCCAGACAACATTTTGAGGTACAGTGGCTTAGGGGAAAGGACTGTACATTGTCTTCTAAGTATGATGGAATCATCCATGGGTAACATGATCTGATACACACCATGGAAACATTTCTAGCAGTTCTATTTGCAGAGAGCAGCCAATAGGAAAAGCAACGTCATGAGATTTGCATAAAGGCTGGCTAAACTAGGAGAGGCGGGGAGGAAGAGCAAGAAACACACTGGCACAGGACTGTCGGCTTTCAAGACTTGGCATTTTTAGAGGCTTTGTTCAAAGGCTGTCAAAGGGAGAAGAGCAATCAAAGATAGAGAAAATTACAGTTTTCTACTATTTCTGTGAAATAGTACTTACAACTTAAAAATAGACACCGCTGCTAGTAGTTTTAACTTGCTTCTTTCATATTTCTTGCATTCAAACAAAAGATACAACTGCATAATCTCTAAGGAGCACAGCTTAGAAACAGTGAACGGTTCAAAAGATAAAGTAGCGTTTGTTAAGGGGCTCCCAGTTCACCAGCATCTCTGCTTCCAGCGTATTTAACGCAGATGCAGACATGCGCAGATTCAGGACTCGGATCTCATCTCTAAATGTTATTTCCTGGGGTGAACTGAAAAATTTCAGCCTTGAAAGGCCAGCTAGAAGAAATCTGGTGAACTAGGTTACCCTGTATCCATCTCTCTATAGGCTCTCTTTAATACTTAAGAAATATGTCAACATGAAGAATACATTTACTATTGTCTTACAAAGATATCAACGAATGATCTTTCTTACCTTTGATTTAAAATAAGTTATTAGGAGGCCAGGAGACTGCAGGGAAAATCACACTATTTGCACTATGGAATACCTTTGCACAACTTTAATCTAAAAGTTTTGTTTTTTCTTTTTGTTATGTTGTTTGTTTGCTTGCTTATTTGGATTTTTGGTGGTGGTGGTGGTGGTAGTTGTGGTGATGGTTGGTTTTTAACTGAAATTGACATTCTTTTTCATATTGCTATTGTTATTATTATTATCTGACTTAATTGTTTCTTTTTTGGTTTTCCATTGGAAGGACATTGCAAGAGTGAGCATCAGATATGGGGTGGGACTGGGAGATGGGTGGTATTGGGGAGCATGGTGTGAAATTTCCAAAGAATCAATAAAAAATATGTTTTATAAAAGGGAAGAAAAGAGGTATGCCCACTCACAGTAAAAACCAAGTCCCCTCAAAAAGGAAAACATCACTAAAGATAAATATGGACCAGGTAGTAACTATGTGTGCTGACTGGAAAAAGAGCTGCCCTGATCTACCTTGGTGATATCCACGAAGATTTCTGGACTGAGCTAAATCCTTTGAAATTCTAGCTGAGCTGTCATCCTCATTCCCTGCCTTCCTGAGTCTGCAAAAGGCCCCGGGGCCTGGCTCTAGGCACATACTCAGATGTAGGTAATATGTCCAAAACACGAAGAACTGCCAGGCCTCTCGATTCAAGCCACAGGCTATAACAACAGGTATGCTATCATACAGAGTTTCTTTATAGTGTTATTATTTTGTGTGTTTATGTGCCTGTGTAAGCAGGTGCCCATTGGAGGGCATTTGAAGAGCATGTAAGTTCCCCGGAATAGAAGTTACAGGTAGCTGAGTGTCACCCAGTGCAGGGAACTGAACCCCTGGTCCTCTTCAAGGATAACAGCTGAGCCATCTCTCCAGCCCCGGCATCTGGTTTCTTAAAACAACCATGACGGTGAGCTGCCATTATTGTTACTTTGTCATCCACAGACATGCATATGTAAAGCATATACAGCAAAACGTGCTCTCCTTCTTAAACTCAGAACTGATTGCTGACTACATAACAGAGTAAGTTCCATATGACTTGGCCATTCTTTTAACTCTGGGAAATTCCAGGGGTTTCATCGAATGCAAGTTACCCCACATGATCCAATTACTGTCTTTATCCCGTTAGCACTTGAAGAGACTGACTGATTTGCCTGCCCTTGAGATTGAAAATATTCCTTATTACACTACCAAGCTTTCCTGAAATAAATTAAATGTATACTTTAATTCAAGTGAACTTTTTTTTTTTAATGAAGGATGCTACATGTGTTACTATCACTTTAACCTGAAACATTCAGTCACCTAGTTCCAGAAACACTCAAAGTGTCAAATCCGTCCTGGGAACATTCCGCACGTCAAGCCCATTCCTGCAGCACGCGCGTCGACGGTACTTGCCCTTTGCTTTTCTGTGTGGTGAGATCTGCGTCACTACGTCAGTCTCCTCCTGACCATTGCGCAGAGAACCGCGCAATCGCTGTGTTCA